GAAGGAAGGAAGGAAGGAAGGAAGGAAGGAAGGAAGGAAGGAAGGAAGGAAGGAAGGAAGGAAGGAAGGCTCTACCACCTAACCAGTCGAATATTGTGCCCCAAAGGTGGCCATCTTTGTTTGGCAACAAGGCCGTTTAGCCTTTAACTTGAGATTCCACAAGGCAGTCAAGAAAAACAAAACACACACTATTTCCTGGATCAATGTAGTAAGAGGAAACCATTGTGACAGGAGGGGGGGGATGCAAAAGACATTCATCTTCAGTTGTGGTTAGAACGGGCTAGCTGTCAAGTTTTACAGACTTGCCCAAAACGATGTGAAGCTGCGTACGTTGCAAGAGATTTGCAAAACGTCCGGCAGGCTCGCCAGATTCCATGTTGCCTTCATGGAGTCTGCTGTGGGGAGGTGTTCCGGATTCTTTTGTGAATAGCCCAGAGCTCGTCCAATCTCAGAAGCTAAGCAGGGTCGGCCTTGGATGGGAGACCACTGAGGGAGCCCAGGGTTGCTACGCAGAGGGAGGCCATGGCCAACCGCCTCTGTTCGTCTCTTGCCTTGACCTGGAAGGCCCAGCCAGCTTGTTCTTGTCAGATCTCAGAAGCTAAGCAGGGTAAATTCTCATTCGTACTTGGATAGGAGACCACCAAGAAAGCCTAGGGTTGCCACGCAGAGGCAGGCAATGGCAAACCACCACTGTGGATCTACCCTGACCTGGATAGCCCAGGATAGCCCTGTCTTGTCAGATCTTGGAAACTAAGCAGGATCACAAAATTCCAGTAAAATAGGGGGCAGAACTGAACCGGATCATGGCGGGTGCTGGATCGGAGGGCTCCACACCTAGATGCCTGAAAAGCCACTGAAATACAAACTGAATTTTTGTGGCTGAACCACGAACCAAACCTTGAACCCATGTGAACGAGGAGGTTGGTTCATGAACTGTCCCGGTTCATATTGTTTCATGAGCCATGTAAAGTTTAACCCCTGCTTTCTGCTCCCCGTGCAAAGCCACAGGGAGCAGAAAGCAGGGGCCATAAGCTGCGGGGAGCAGAAAGCACAGGCTTAAATGGCTGCCAGCCATTTAAACCAGAGGGAAATTTAGCCATTATAGAAACCAGATGTCCTGAAGGGTTTAAACATCTAGCATAAACTGACCCTCCTTCAAGAAATTAAAGAGCTAATGGAGCAAACAGACCCTCTACAGCAGGACTGAGTTGATAACATGGCTGCCAAACTCACGGAGAAAGGCAGCTAAGCAGAGTATGCCCTGGTTGCTACTTGGGTGGGAGACCACCTAGGAAGCCCAGGGTTGCTACGCAGAGGCAGGCAATGGCGAACCACCTCTCTGTGTCTCTTGGCTTGAAAAACTCATGGCCCTGGGGTTTCTATGAGTCGGTTGCAACTTGAAGGCACTTAATTATTAGTCGTATCAAACACTGTGCAATTTCACGATATTCTTCTACTGCTGTTATTTGAACCCATTCCATGCCCCTGGCCTCCTGATTTAACACCAGTGATAACTAGGGATGGGCACGAACTGAATTTTTGTGGCTGAACCATGAACCAAACCTCAAACCCATGTGAATGGGGAGGTTGGTTCATGAACTGTCCCGGTTCATATTGTTTCATGTGCCATGTAAAGTTTAACCCCTGCTTTCTGCTCCCCGCGAAAAGCTACAGGGAGCAGAAAGCAGGGGGCCATAAGCTGCGGGGAGCCGAAAGCACAGCCTTAAAATGGCTCCCAGCCATTTAAACCAAACCCCTGCTTTCTGCTCTTCGTGAACCGCCACGAACTGCCACAATGCATCAAGATTCGTGAAAGTTCACAGTGGTTCTTTCGTTTGCGAATTTTACATCATGAATTTTACATCACAAACTGCCCATGTGAACTTTAGTTCGTCAGCCGGTTCGTGCCCATCTCTAGTGGTAACCCCTCCCACCCAGATCTGTTCGAAGCAGTGAAAATGTCTTCTCCAGTTCATTGGCTTGTTTCCACACTAAACCGTGATGCAGTGCGACAGTGAGTGAAACAAGTGTGTGGGGAAAATGGTAGTTTCTGTAGTCTTTTTTGGGGGGGCATCCAATCACCGCCAGCTTATGGCAACCCCTCAAAGGGTTTTGAAGGGAAGAGATGTTCAGAGGTAGTTGGCAACCCCAAGCAACCCCAAGAGTACACAATCCCGGATTCAGCATCCCGGACTGTTGCAACGAGCATGCTCAGTAGCATCCAGGACTTTTCTCGTCACAGTCTTCCCTGAATCCCACCCTGCTGTCCCTCTCATTTCTGTAAGCGGCAGGGGAAATGTGGGGTGGTGCCGGCAGAAGCAAGAACAGCGGAGGGTATTATGGTGAGTTTCAGATTGGGCTGGGCCCGGAGTCCTCTCGGGGCTCGATCCAAGAGCAAAGAATCCACTCCCCAA